AAATAAAATGCTCTGTTGCTTGAGTGTTACTTACTAGTCTGACATTGTTGTCCAGTGTATCCTCTAGGACACGAACAGTAATATCCTCTATTATGCCAATAATAATTATGGCAAGTACTCCCGTTACGGCAAGGACCACTGTTACACGGGTACATGTCTAGATTCAAAATGAATCAGATTATCTCATATTAGAATAGCATTTTTTCAGTTAAACTAGTCTAATGATTTCAGTTGCGCATCAACTGTAGCGTCAAATACAACATTGGTCTATATATTGTATGACTGTTACTTACAAGTCTGACATTGTTGTCCAGTGTATGCATAAGGACACGAACATCTGTACCAGCCAACACCACCCTGACAAGTACCTCTGTTACGACAAGGGTTACTGTTACACGGGCTGATGCCTAAGTGAATTAGAAATGTGGTTTCTCATATTAGGAAAGAAAATTATCTCGTCATACCTGTGTTTATTTACTCAAAGATGTAAGGAATCTTTTGGGCCACGATTTGATGCAATACCACCTATCTATCCTTACAATGAGCAATATGTACATTCAATAACCATCTTATTACCATTTCACAGTGTGATTTTCAAGTTTTTTCGCAAAGAATGATTTCAAATCGTTGACAAATCACACAAATAAAAAAGGTGAGAAGGAGGAGGTATAAGGCAGAGGAAAGAAAAAACATTTTGACATCTTGGAATAGAACACACATACCACATGTTTCATTAAACGAGACCAACCCATCTCTACAGCAAGTACTGTCCTTGTAATTTGTTAACGAGGCACGATCTGCCCAATATGCTCCTTTCAAGGGACTAGTATAATAGTCAGGCCTGAGGATTATAGCCATAAATATCGCAGCATTCCCAAGACAGGACGTAGCAGTCTGTTTCTGAGTCGAATTCATTTCACCATACATGACCCCAAAGCTTCCTGTAATGACGTAACGATTGGCTGGGGTTGCTATGGTAACCTTGAGTAACTTGAGTGTTAGACCTGAGCACAAGAGTTGACTGGTACCATGATTCAGTACCTATTACGGAAAGCATATATAGATGTTTGGATTTGATGTCCACTTTATAAGCAGAAGCTGATATTCCAGAAAAAGTCTTGGCCAAAATTCATCTAATTTTATATTTCCAAAAATTACTGGTTTGCATGACAACGTAAAATGGCGGCCCAATTGATCTCATTTAGAGATGTTAAACATAGGACACGTTTGTCAGTGCTTGACTGTCACGTGACACTCTCTAAATAAAGGCAMAAGATAATAAAGAAGAGGAGAAGTAGTTTGAAAGGGAAAAAAAGAAAAGCATAGAAATCTCTCGACAATAGAGTTACTAAATGTACCTCGGTCATGATACTGTTAGCATCGCTTTGTGTAACTGTGATGGTAGATGGTCCAACTGTGTAATGAATGCTAACAGCTGTGTGCCAGCAGTTGGTCGCCTTGGCAACTGCAACTAACAAAAATGTTGTCATATCAGACAAGCATATGACTCGACTTTGAACCTYGCTAACTATCATGGGTCAAAGATAATGACTTTATACAAGTCAAACATTTATAGTGCAAAATAGATTTTAAGAAGATGATTTTAAAACAAACAAACATCAACCATATTAAGGATCCTTGAGTACCATTACTAAGGATGCATCAAAAAGGTCAAGCGATGCAAGAAAATGGTCACATGACCCAGAGCTTATTATTGGGTATGACGTCATCCACCATTAAATTTTGATATCATATATATTTTTCAGTTTAGGAAAGCCATTATAGTTGACCATGGGTATGCGTTATCTGTTCCAAATGCCTGCAGGAATATCACCTCGAAATTTTAAAAAGCTGAAAATATTTTAATATTTAAAAAGACCTAAAATACCTTAGCGGAAACAGACAGCATTCGAAATCGAAAAAAAAAAAATCATTTCTCGCATATTTTGATGTTCGTCTTGTCTCCAAATCTTGAGCGCTCTTCGCTCTAGCATGTTTGTGTCCCTTGATATAAGCACGTTAGCCAGCCAATCAGCGTCAGATATTTCATAATTAATAACATAATTTAACCTACCGGTTTCACAGTGTCTACCAGTGTATTCATAAGGACAGGTACAGTTGTAGCCATAATCTGTATCGGTACAAGTGGCTCCATTACGACAAGGACTGCTGACACAGGTATTGTTGCTTTCTGAAACAGAAAATTGCCAACTATTAATCACGTGACTTTTTGGGAGTTGACTGGGGGGCAATTAATATGCAATCTGACTTATTTCTACGGCCTGAAACCAGAAATCAAGATACCCTTGTAACCTCCAAGGTCCTCCAAGTTTACCGGCTAAAATCCCCCGTCCACCCCCCCCCCCCCCCCCCCCCCCCCTCCACGTTAAAGCACAGATATTACCAGAAGTGAAGAAGTGAAGAATATCATATGTAGAAATCTAAATACTGATATAATATCGATCTGTAATCGTAATTTGTCTATTGTTTATTCCCCCTTTCTCTCCCTCTCCCTCTCCCTCTCCCTCTCCCTCTCCCTCTCCCTCTTCCTCAAGCATCTGAAATATTTTAATTCCTAACGTTATTGTTTTAGAAGCTAGACTTCTTACCGGTATTGTTACCACAGTAACGCAGGGCACAATCTGTATGTCCACGTAGAAGGTAAACGTAGAATTCTCCACAGTTTTTAACACGAATAGATTTGGAACGCGGACAGCAGGTGGTATTCCAGTTAAAGCACACCGTACGAGTCACGACACCGTCGGCTTGGGTAGGATGAGAACCAGTCATCCATCCTGGAGCAGCAGTACCACAGTGACGTACAGGGACACAAGATGTTGCTATGGCAGTGCCTGCATCACCCATGAAGCGGTACCATGCTGGAGTGATRTACCTGTCRCATTTGTTCTTTATTCCCCGGTATCCTTGTGCACGGTCTGGTGCGTTGAGCACAGTGTAGTTGCTGCATTCTTGAAAACAAATGATTTTATTCACTAGAATGCATTTAGAATCAACCCTCTTATCTTGAGCGTAAAGTTTTTTTTCTCCCATCCGAACGGGAACATTATGTATATTCTAGCAATACATGAAATTACCATCGCGATAGCATGTCACAAAGATGTCTTCAATATGACCACAGTTGTGAATTCCCCATCCACGATGTCTACACTGTTGAATAGCACTCTCGCTGCCAGAACATTGTACATTATCAAGCCATATCTGTCCTGTTCCTCCTCCACTGTTATGATAAGAAAGGGCACCAGCAAAGCCAAGCTGACGGCAAACCACGTGGGTGTTGGTCATGGACCAGTCATCATCACACACTGTACCCCATACTCCATTATGAAGAACTTGTAATAGACCAGAGGACCCTCCCCCTTGAATGCGAACTGTGAAACAGGAAACAACTAAGTTTATAGATACCCTGAAACAACCTCTGGGCTGGTCTAAGTCAGGGTCAGGATATGGCTAACTCACAGATCAAATTGGAATTAGCTTGTTAGGCTTTGCAAAGGTAGCAAAACTCGAAAACCCTTGCGGAGCAAAACCTTAACTTCGAATCGAGCCCAAGATCCCAGAGGTGAGAGGCGAGCGTATATTTCTGCTACACCACCCTTGATTCCCTCGAGCAGTAAGAACAGTACACGATGAATACAAATCGAAGAGTGTTTAGTACAACAATATCTTTCTGAATTAAGCATCGTTACTCGTAAACCAAACCTGATAATGCAGGTGTTACTGTTGTGTTTGCTACTCCTACTGATACTGTTGTTGGTGCTACTGCTGTTGCTGGTGCTGTTGTTGGTGCTGTATGAAAAATAGAATAACAAACGATGAGAAAAAAAAAACGAAAAAACGCTCATTACAACTATATTTTTCAACAAGCTGTAGGTCATTAGCAAAAAACCGTATATTTGCAATAAGCGTTCTTATTGCTTTGGTTGTCGATGCTGTGGCTGCTGTTTTTATTGTCGTTGTTGCTCTTTTTTTCTGCTGTTACTGCTGCTTTCTGTTGTTGCTGTAGTTTCGATTAACCGTTTGCTCTCGTAATGTCTTATCATCTCTGGTCACAAATCACTCCCTTGACTAGCAGCTCTCAGTTGCGTTTTTTACAATTAAAAAGATATAGGATTTTCGATGCAGCAAACAACGAATATATTAAAACCACTTAAAGGTTTGAAATGAAAAAAACGTCATTTTACAGTCATATCGAGATTTTTGTCGTTACCCTCCACCTTGAATGCGAATTGCTGTTAAACGTAAAATAAAATAAAATAATAAAGCCAAAACCGCTCGGTAGAACGATACTTTTCTGACAAATCGCTAATTGTAAATCAAAAACGTTCTATTAAATAAAAATAAAAACAACAACATGCAATCAGTGCACTTGAAAAAATGCCTCTTTCGTCTTTACTATTTCATCGTTGTTGCTACTATGCTACTGCTGTTGTTGTTGCTGTTGCTGCTGTCGTTACTGTTGTTATTGTTGCTACTGTCATCGTTACTTTTGTTGTTGCTGTTTTTGATGCTGTTGTGTTGTGCTGCTGCTACATGCAGGTATTCTGTTTAATCATTTGCTTGCTTTTTATTTTTTTCAACGAGACATTTACTGTCTCAAATTGAGACCAAAAAATGCAATATATAAGTTAAAATACACATTTCGCTATTTACCAGTATCATTTTTGATGTGTACTACAAACTGCAGATCCACTGAGCCCAAAACGTTAGACGAATCAAACTGCGTCGTCCCTGAAGGAAAATCTTCAAGCTTCAAGATGATTGGCAAAAGTTGATTTACATAACCACCGCCATTATAACTGAGAGTACAATTTCCCTGAAAATGATCACAAAGAAAGTAAGTACACATTCCTCTGTAACATTCCTGGTTGCTTACCTCGTCTAGTACTTATGAGGAAAGTAAGTACACATTCCTCTGTAACATTCCTGTTAGCTTACCTCGTCTAGTACTCCATGAGGAAAGTAAGTACACAATCCACTGTAACATTCCTGGTAGCTTGCATAACGACAACGCACTATGTCACCATCAGGATCTTCAACAGGTATTTTAATGACTGATGGGATACCTAGATTTAAGTAGACCGTCAGTGGTAGCGTGGAGACTGGCGAAGAGTTGTTAAAGACACCGTTGGCAGATACGTTGTTCGTCGCACTCAGTAGCATGCTTCCGTAATTACCATCAACTCTAGAGACATTACGCATCCAGTATCCATAGTTATAAGTCCTGTCGATAGACAAATAATTTAATTAAATAATTAAATTGACCTTTCAAATCTTCCAGCTGGTTGCTAATTTTCATCGCTCTAAAAAGTGCCAAATAAAAATGCTAATTCATTTTACGTCGATTTTAGGTAGTCAGGTTTGATCAGTGTCTTAAACACTCGACGCCAGATGGAATTCGATTTTTATGCAGGGAGGAAAACCAGTAAATCCGGAGAAAACCCTCGAAGCAATCGACACAACGAAGATGAAGACGTGATGAAGATACGATGAAGATGTGATGAAGATGTGGTGAAATATTTTCCTGTACTACACCTCAGCTCTTCAGTGCTCATGCGACGATCCTCGTTCATGGAAATCAATTTGTTTAAAATGTAATTCTGTCCGTTGCCTCCTCAGTCCTTTAACGCAGTGCTGCTCCTAAATGTATTGTCAAGACATTGCCTTTATTCTTTTGATAAGGGTCCGCAGTAATTGGCCTTAGCTGTTGCGGTTTCCCTGCCTCAGAACATATTTATACTTGTATCTTTTTTTCATATTTTGAACTCGAGGCAAATTTAGATAAATAAATATAATAAAGATAATGATGGGGGTATTGTTGGTGATACTGATCATGCTGATGATGATAATTGTAATGGTGATATAGTGATGATGATGATGATGATGATGATGATGGTGGTGGTGATGATGATGATTCTTTGTAATATATAAAGCATAAGCGGCCGATTTGTATGGGTATTTACAATAGAGTTATCTTATATTTGACTTACATAGCTATCAACAATCTGCCGTTGTATCCAGGTCGAAAAGTAAACGAGCTGTTTCCCTCGCTCCAGCCTTCTTCACTGTTGAAACTGTTGCATGAAATCTGATTACTGGAACTAATGCTGTTGAATGTACCATGAAGTAAACCATAATAGGTAAATTTTGTCACAGACCAAGGTGAAGAGTGCGAGTTAGTCCATGTAACACGATGTCCGATATTTCCAGAGTAACAGTAAACATAGTCCGCTTCAAACGCCAATCGGTATATGAACTCGACCTAAAAGATAAGAAATAATGCGTTACCGTTTTTTAAAGTGTATATCAAGGAAAAAATGTATTTTCAAAATCACTTATATGTGCACAG